TCGAACTCCAAGCAGAGTTAGAGAGCTTCATTATAATGATGTATCAATCGTTTTATGTGCAAAATATCTGTTTGTTGATCTCCAATGACACTGGATGCTCATAAAAGCAGACATGGACATGGAGCAAAAAGGTATTCCTAAAGGTCATAATTGACTGATGCTATAATTGTGCTGATTGGTAGCTAAATCTAGAGCCACTTGAGATTGCTCCATTATCTTCAAGGCTCCCAAAGGGCCACCTTTTTACTGCCAATACAGCAGAAGTAAAATATTTTATGATATGCTATATTAGAAGTACACTTCAAAATGACATTTGTGCACGACTATTGGTTTTTTTTTATTTCCTTGTCTCACTTTTTTGTTTCTTTTTTAGATTCAGGCATTTTCATCAACTTCTCTCTTCATCTCCTCAGAGACCTATTCTCACTCCACTGTCCCCTCCCTCCTCTAAGTAACCTGCTCATCTCAAAGTCTGTCTGCAACAGTAAGTCAAACTATGCTAATGAGGTGGCAGCATATGGTTCATTCCTTATTTAAGCTCAGCAGACAGTAAGCCACTTCCTCTCTAAGAATCCTGCTACCTGCTCCTGTTGGACTGCACAATGCTGATCTCTTAATGAGGCTTGAGGATTATCACAAGCAGCTCAACACACCAGCCAGGATCAGTAGCTGCTTGTTATCACCTCAATCTGAGATGCTATGCTTATCCTTTTACTGGATGCTATGCATGGCCCAGTTAACACTGGTAAAGCTTGAAAATCTGCAAGTAACCAGCATGAAAACGTGTCTGCTCCGATGATGCCGCTTCAGTGCATGGCCTCTCACTTTGATGCCAAACATTAATGCATGCATACATGGACACACATAAACACATTTAGCTGTGTGGTGACAGGCCTGTGCGTTGCTCTGTTCCATCATGCGATGCATAGCACTCTGTCACTCTGACAGACTCGCTTTATTTGATGATGGGGGGGGGTACGACCTCGCCTTTCTCACACAGTTACTGACAGATTTACAAGTGTGCACATGCATAAACACTCAGCTTGCTGCCAGTATGATCAATCAGGGGCTTTAGACAAGGTTTGACATGTGCTATACATTTGTGGCAAAGGAACACGCTAAACTACCACGGAGCAATCACATTGCCAAATGGTTTATACAGTAATGTGCAAAAGTTTCAAATCAATCCTAACTTCTTCAGATTTTCATGTCAATGAGCTATGCTAGCTTGTAATTTATGTAGGGGCCGATATGGGGTAGAAGCAGGGCAGCCGACTCAGGACCCGAAAGTCCCAGGTTCGATCCAAAGCCGTTCCCACATGTCATGGTGTCTCTGAGCAAGACACCTTATCCCTAATTGCTCCCTGGGCAGCTTACACAGCAGCCCACTGCTCCACCTGGATGTATACCAGGTGCGATGGGTTAATTGCAGAGACCCAATTTTGCCATTGTATGGAAACAATGATGACAACACATAGCACTTTTACTTTACTTAGTATTTTAAAGTAAACTTAACCAATAGTTGTTCAGGATTTCTGAAGGTCTTCCAAAATTTTCCGTTGGACTTGATCTGCCTTTTTATTGTATTCTCACTGCAGTCCTTGTATCTAGCCATAAAGGTGTAGTGCACAGTGTGCGCTTAAAAATATACAAAAACAAATATGGAAAGTTGAAGCCTAAAGAAAATGTGTCAGGCCTAAAACAAACCATCTACTGCAGACGAAGAGGGTATAAAAGTCATGCTTTTATGAACTAGGAGAAAAGTTCTCAGCTAATGTCCCTTTCACACTGGATACCAGCCCAGTTATCAAGTGAAAAATCAGCTAAAACATGTTTTTTTTTAAATGGATGACAAGGTCTTTAGGTATGAAGTAATATACAGTGGGCTCCATATTATGCTAGCCAGAGCATGGTATATCCATGTTGGTTGTAAGTTCAAACATTTTGTAGAAAGGCTGCAGTGTTGTTGGTTTCTACTTGTTTTAACCTTAACAATCTTACTGGTATATGCTATCTCCCTGTTAAGAGAGTTGGGGTAAGCATGATGAGATAAGTCAGGGGCAAGCCAGCACGCCTCTGGCTGACAGTCACAGTTTACCAACCTGAGTAAACGGTGGTAGAGTGTAGCAGCTGCAGTGGCGCTGTATCCATGGTGTGGGGCCCATACACAAAGGTGGGGCTTAGAAATTTGAAACAAGACTCACCAACTTTTTGACCTGAACGCTCTATCATGCAAAGAGGAAGGTATATATGAACACCATCCAGAAATGTTTTAGTTTTCTCTGGGCAAAGAAGAAATACATCATATAGCCTGTTATCGGTGCAGAGTTTTAAAACCCAGCCACACTGATTGTATTGGGGGCGTTTCTGCCTAGGACACGGACAGCTTGCGCATCTTGAAGGACACCATTAATGTACAACAGCATATACAGATTTTAGACTAACATGATCCCTTCCACATATCTTTTACAGGGCATCCTTTACAACAGCATGGCCTTATACTATTCCCAGTACTGAAGTGATCTACCTACAGTCCAGACCTCTCACCAGTTGAAAACATTTGGTGCCTCATGAGACAAGCTATCCACCAAATAAGACCCATAATTGTTGAACAGCTAGAATCCTACACCAGACAGATGTTTGTTAATAAAGAAAAAAATAACTTTTTTCTTTTTTTCCCCAAAATGAAACAATTTCTATATTTTAAATTTTGATATGTTTATTGGGTTCCATCGTTATATATGTGTTCTTTCCAATTTGTAACATTTTGTTTTTGTTTGTGTTCCAACCTTCTCAGAGTTGAGTTTATAACTCAAGCCATATTTCAGTTCTTCTGTGCTTTATTCATTGAGCTCAACATTTTATAGAACCAATAAAAAGGCATACGATTTTAAAATTATTGTCACACTTTTATACCATTTTCACAACTCAAACAAAAAACCAACAAAAAAAAAAAGCTGAAATATATAAACACTTCAAACACCGATCAACGTGGTGTGAATAAGCCAGTATCACAGCATAACATCTGGAACTAAATGCTCTAAATGTATTTACTCCCCCGCAGCATGTGGAACACCTTTTGTCCAACTTACATCACTTTACTTCACACATACAGATGTGAAAATTACTCTACAAGCAGTCTTGAACAGATCCCAAAGCCAGCCCCCCGAATGCATTTCAAAACTGCATTTTAACAAATTAAAATGAATTATGGATTTATGTGGCTAAAATTACCCTAAGTGTTACAATGCATGCATAGAACTGCTACACAGCCCCTGATTACTGCTGCTGTATGTTTCAGAACAAAAGACTAAATAAATAGCTTAAATCAGCCACGAGCTTCTGTGAACAGAATAAAATACATCTACACTTCCAAATATAACTTCAAACAGCTGCGTGTCAATGTTTGTTCATCTCACTGTTTCTTATTCCCGAAAGATGCAGCACTTTCTGTATACAGTCTTATTTAAACAGGGATGTTTACTTGAGCAAGGCTGGACAGCTGACAGATGCTCCAGCAAAAACAGAACAAAAAAAAAAAAAAAGTACATGTGGGCAGAAAATCTTTTTCCAGGTATTTTTTTATAAGTCAGGGGAGCAACATTGACAAAACCGGAAACACGAGCAGGCCAGGAATTTGTCACTTATGATGGAAGCAATTAGTTTTTTTGTGAGGAAAGCAGAATGATGAAGTGGTTTACACACAGCCTGTGAGCGGAGTTTCTCTTAAACTATACTTATATGTTGATGGACATCTCAGAATCAGCAGAAAATTTAGATTTTTGGAAATCCTTCTTTGCTTTAATGGGACATTTTTTCATTGCCAACTAAGAACAAAAACACCCACAGTGATTCACTGCATTAGTCTTTTTGTGTCTGTGCTATTCCACTGCCATTCTTTGTCTTAAGCGTCTTGGCTCAGTTTTCCTGCTGCACTTGTTTGAATTAAAGGCCTTGCATTGTCTATCATCAGAGGTTTAAACTAAAATCTCTTCATGTTGAGAAACAATAAAGTTGCACTGCTTCTAGTGAAATCTTGAAAGTAAAATTATGGGTGATCTTACTGATATTGAGAGAAGCCATGCAGAGAACATTTGTTGTGAATGATTTTCACCCACTACCTTATCAAATGTGTGGCTTATCATTGCTGAAATTGACTGGGTTTTAGATATTTTTGAGTTGCTATAGTGCCAATTATCTGTGGCAGCTGTCTTGAACTGTATGGACTCCAAAGTTCATATCTTCAATCTTTATTTTCTGATGTCTAAAAGTTCTATTATGATTATCCCAGTACAAACAGAAAAAAAATAAATAAATAAAAACATTGATTCCAACAGATAATATTGAAGTTTAAGCAGAAATCGTTGATGTGAATAATAGCAAGCTGCATCTATTCTAAATTTTAATGCAATAACTGTAACACTGACAGAATAATAGCCATTATAGTATTTTCAAAGATTTGGATGAGGTGGCCAGGTCATTAATTGGCTCACAATGTTGGTCAGTGGTAGATTTACACCATGTGATTATTTACGGAAAGATTTATTAAAAAGTGTCCATTTGTTCATGAGATACTTTGCTAACAAACATACATGAACGACTTCAAACAGTTAATAAATAAATGAAACATAAATAAAGATGCATTATATAGATACAGTAGATAGAAAGATAGATAGATAGATAGATAGATAGATAGATAGATAGATAGATAGA